AAAAAACAAAAAACAAGAAACAGTGAGTGAGACTAAGAAAACAGAAAGGGAATGTTGGCAAGGCACAGAATTGAAGGGCAGGGCTCTGTTGGTGAGCAGCCTGAAGAAAGGGTCCAGACCTCTATCTACCTTTACTTGCTGTTCATGTACCAGAGACCACCTCTGCCATATCTGGACAGGATCTCTAGCCTCTTTAGAGTTCTAAGGAGTGAATGCCCAGGGCTGTCTTGTTTTGTCTTTGTCTCTCTCTCCCCAGGTGCTAGTGTATGAGTTGTTGCTGGGAAAGGGCTTTCGAGGGGGCGGGGGCCGATGGAAGCCTCTGCTGGGCCGGCACCAGGCGAGGCTCAAGGCTGAGTTGGCTCGGCTCAAGGTTCATCGGGGTGTGAGCAGGAATGAGGACCTGTTGGAAGCGGGGTCCAGGCCAGGCCCAGGTGAGCTGGAGGGAATCTTGGGGCCTGGGGAGGATGACAGTCATCGGGCCCTGAAGGAAGGCGTCTGTGCTCACGGCCGCTCCCTTCCAGCCTCCCAGGTGCCTCGCTTTGTGCGAGTGAACACTCTCAAGACCTGCCCTGATGATGCAGTGGATTATTTCAAGAGGAAAGGTTTCTCCTACCAGGGCCGGGCTTCCAGGTGAGTTCAGCATCCTGCCCATCTGCCCTCCTAACTCTCCACTGTGAATGAAATCCTTAGGCACTGCAAATATGTTCTAAAAAATACTGGAAAAAAAAAAACCAGAATTCCACAACAGGTAATCTGAAATTTTTTAAATGACGAAAGGAGTATCTGTTTTTAATTTTCAAAAAACGCGCTAAAGGCATCTCACTGTGGCGGAGAGGACGACCTTGGTACTGCACTGTTCTGAGCTCCTTCCCAGGCCCCTCAGCCGAAGTGCTGCTGCTCCCTGCTCGAACTTCTCCCCTGGCCTCACCACCTCCTGTTTTGTCCCTTGCCGCCTCTGAGCAGCTGCTTATACCTCTCCCCTTCCCTTCCCTTCCCTCCTCCTGCCTCTGGAATGCTGCCTTGTCTGCTATGGCCAGGCACGGAGGGTGACATTCAGGTTCAAAGTGCATCCTCACAGCTTGGTGGCCTTCTGATCTGGAACGTGCTGTCCCCAGCCAGGCTGTGGTGGTCCCGGGGCGTGTGGTGCTCCTTGCTGAGAGGTGTGGAGACTGTGGCTGCCGCTGAGCTCAGCCATCAGGGAGCAGTGCTGTGCTGCCTCCCCTGCACCCCGACCCTGGAAAGGAGCCCCTTAGGGTTGTGCTTTCTGGGAAAGGTCAGCAGCACCTACTGGCCAATGTTTCCTGGCACTTCACTTGTGCCAAGTGTGTCGAACATTAGCGCTCTTCATCTGTGTGCCTCCTGTGACGAGAGCACAGGTGGAGATAGGGTTGGGGCTGAGGTCACCTGCCCATGCCCCTGCTGCTGGGAGATAGAGGACCGGGATTGTCTCAGCTACTGACTCGACCGCCTCTGTGGTGGTCTGAAATTTGTTCATAGCTGTTTTTCATTATTTTTTTGTAGTGTTGGGGATTTGAACCTTACAGCCTGATACATGCTAGGCAAACACTTAGCACTGGGCCACACCACTCACCCCTGCATAGACAATTTGTTTAAATTTATGTATTATATTTTGTTTTTGTGTAATTCTGGCTGGCCTTAAGCTCACAGTGATCCTCCTGTTTCAACCTCCTGAGTGAGGGGTTATAGGCCTGCATCACTGCTCCCAGTTTATTTCAAAATTTTGAGGCAAAGTCTCACTAAATTGCCCAGGCTGGGCTTGAACTTGTTACTCTCCTGCTTCAGTCTCAGAGTGCTGGGATTATAGGCATGTGCTACTACCCCAGGTGTGGAGTTTAAATACTGCCTGTAAGGATGAGCAAAGGGGATCCTGGCATGGAAGGAAACTAGAAAAGGTTGAACAATGGTCTGTGTTCCCTGGCAGCCTTGAAGACCTACGGGCCCTCAAAGGGAAGCACTTTTTTCTGGATCCCTTGCTGCCTGAGCTGCTCGTGTTTCCTGCGCAAACAGATCTGCACGAACACCCTCTGTACCAGGCGGGTCACCTCATCCTGCAGGATAAGGTAGGGAGGACAGGTGGGAAGGGGAAGCATGTGCAGGCTCCCCCGACCCCCTGGCTCTGTTCATGGGCTGCTGTGCTCCACTCTGCCAGGCCAGCTGCCTTCCAGCCATGCTGCTGGCCCCGCCACCTGGCTCCCATGTCATTGACGCCTGTGCTGCCCCAGGCAACAAGACCAGTCACCTGGCAGCTCTTCTGAAGAACCAGGGGTGAGGAAGGGGAAGGGGCGGAGCCTGACGCTGTACTCTGAAGGGGGAATAAGGACATCTTTAGTAGGGACAGAGTGGGGGCAGTCCCAAGCTAAGCTTCCTGGGGGCTGCTTCACGCCTGGCCAGTTGGCCACATGTGTATTCAGTACTCCTCCTGCATGTCCGGACCTAATGTACATGTCAGCGTGGGACATGGCGGATATGGCCTCCCTTAGGAGCCCTGTACATTCTCGGTCCACCCCAGCTCTGTCCTCTCCCCCAGGAAGATCTTTGCCTTCGACCTGGATGCCAAGCGGTTGGCGTCTATGGCCACTCTGCTGGCCCGCGCTGGAGTGTCTTGCTGCGAGTTGGCCGAGGAGGACTTCCTGGCAGTGTCGCCCACAGACACACGTTACGCCAGGGTCCAGTACATCCTGCTGGATCCCTCCTGCAGCGGCTCTGGTGAGATGGGGAGGCTGGGCTCGGGTCTGCAGCCTAGTTTTGGTCCCAGTTGGACTGGGCCGTGGGACTGGGCAAAGGCTCCGGCCTGTGAAGCGGGGCTTCGCTTGGAACTCAGCACTCTGCAGGTTTGTACAGAGGACTCTTCTTACAGGCATGCTGAGCCGGCAGCTGGAGGAGCCTGGTGCAGAGCCGCCCAGCAAGGAGCGCCTGTGTGCCCTGGCGGCCTTCCAGCTTCGAGCTCTGCGCCATGCCCTCACCTTCCCCACCGTGCAGCGCCTCGTCTATTCCACCTGCTCCCTCAGCCAGGAGGAGAACGAGGACGTGGTCCGAGAGGCGCTGCAGCAGAGCTCTGGGGCCTTCCGGTAACTCGGGCCCCAGGCAAGGTGTGGAGGGCGCAGGGTGCCCACCACCCCAGTGAGGCTGAGCCCTCTCCCTCCACAGGCTAGCGCCCATCCTGCCCTCCTGGCCGCACCGAGGCCTCGGCACTTTCCCAGGGGCTGAACACTGCCTCCGGGCCTCCCCCACGACCACGCTCACTGGCGGCTTCTTCATTGCTGTGATTGAAAGGACAGACGTGCCCAGGTGAGGTGTGGGGGGCAGGGCCTGATTGGGGGACGGGGCGGGGGTTGCAGCCAGGGGTCCCCTGACCTCTGTCCTTGCCTTGCAGCTCACCCTCACTGGCTGAAGTGCCGGCACCGGAACCTGTGCCCAGCCCCACACTGAAGAGGAGGAAGAGGCGGCGGAAAACAGCAGCTCATGAGAGCACGTAGCAGGTGCCAGCCGGCAGTGAGACCTGCAGGGAAGGCAGCTGCTAGACGACACACTGAGCCCCGGGCTGCAGCAGGGGTCTGGAAGTGGAGGGGAGTTGCCTGGCAGCCCATTCCTCCCACCGGAAGGACAGGGATGTCCTAGCCGTGTGGGCCCCTCCCCTGGACTGTGTTCTTGCTGGTGACAGAAGTGCTGCTGCCACACAAATAAAAGACAAGACACTCTTATGATGGATCACAGTTTGTTTATTCTTATGACATAAGCAAGGAGAAAAATGTCACATTCATACTAAAAATGCCCACTAGCCCCAGCAGGAACCAAATCTCACCAGTAAGTCCCAGCCTCCTGTTCCTGTCCTGTGCATGTCCTTGCACACATGCTCGGCGCCCACCCGGGAAGGGAGGTCAGCTGGCTCAGACCCCACAGCTGAGGGCCCTGATGCAAGGCCAGGCTGAGGCTTCACTGCTGGACCCGCGCCCACCCTGTGGGGCCTAGGCCTTGCGCTCTTCCCACATTCAATCTCAGTCACTAAGGGGGAGGGGACTAGTCACACCTACATCACATTATTTATAAAATAAGGATTAAGTTTGTATAATCGGGAAGGAGCTCCAGTCCTGGTGAGCAGTGAGCCCCTCCACACAGGCATAACTTAACTATACTGCTAATCTCTAGTCCATAGCGTTTAGACAACCACCTCAATGAACCAAGCTTGAAGGAATTTAAAAGGCAATTTAGCTTAAATACAAAAATAAATTTTTATTTTGTTAAAAAATGTTTAAATATTTCTTTTAATTTAGACACACGCATTCATACTTCTCCCAAAGAGGATGGGCGTGGCAGCGAGGCGCTGGGCCTGGGGGTCTGGGAGCAGAGTGCAGAGGACCCTGTGGGGGACGGTGACCGCCTGACGAGCAGAACGTGAGCTGTGTCGGCATGGCTCTCCCGCTGTGTCCCAGGGTTGTCTCACCTGTGCTGAGGCCAGGTAAGTGGGAGAACAGTGGAGGGGAGGTCTTGCTTCCCTCGACCCCATCCCCTAGGCTGCCAGCCATTAAAAGTCAAAACACCATTGCAAAATTCAGAAGTCAGCACTGGCCTTCACGTGGGCCACTTTCCACATTCTATTAACCAGGCCCAGGAGACTCGAGACAGTTAGGTCCGGCACTACCAACATGCCGCCACACATACAATTCAATTCTTCCTCCAAACTCGATTCAAAGAGCAACAGACACAAGCGTCAGACAGTAACACAGGACGAGGCTTGGGACACGTGATCCCAGAGAGGCAGACACAGGCCGGGAGACCAGAGGGCGGGGGAGGCTGCTGAAAGCGGGAAGCATCCTGCCTGTTCCAGGAGTTCTCTTGGAGCGTGGGGCTCACCCCCAGCTCTGCCAGGCTAACAGTCTCGAGCCACCATGCTTTTAGGGGCCAAACTGGCAGAGGGTTGGAGGTAAAGCCACCTCAGACTTAGCAGGAGGAAGTGGACCAGGAGCAGCACCCACTGGATTCTCCAAGGCAAAGCTAGGTTCAAGGTCATGGAAAAAGGAGTAAAATCCTCGGAACCAGTGAGGGAAAAAGCAGCAAGAAATGAGGAAATAGAATCCCCTAAAGGGACCAGAGGAAGAAAACCACTTCTTATAGCCAAGCCAAGCAGGTAAAGCTTAGGGGTGATCTGTTTTCCCCAACCCATCCAAAGCGTCAATCCATGGGCACACTGCATCCTCCGGGCAAGAGGGCGCTCAGAGAAGGCAGGCGGGAGGCGCCTGGCTGGGCTGCACACTAAGCAAGCTGGGGAAGTGGACAGTATGTACAGGTGTTTCTTTAGTTCTCCAGCCTCACCAGAGCAACTTTCAAGTAACTGCAGCGAGCTTCTGCCCTGGCCCCCCTACCCTCCCTGACACCTGCTTCCTTTGGGAGGGAAGGGCCCAGAGCTGCCACACGAGCCCTGGTGGCTGAAGCCAGATCTGGGATAGGTTTGCTGTATGGAACTTGAAGGGTCAGAGGCTCTTCCTAGCAGGTGCTGAGGTCCAGATGTGGGTGAGGGGACAGGGGCAGGGACAGACAGGCTATTTCTTTCGGGTGTGCTGCCTTCGGGCCTGCAGCCGCTGTCGAGCCCCTGGGGTCTTGGATCCCGCACCAATGGAGAAGGAAGGGGCCGCTGATCCTAGAAAGGTTCAACAAGGTCTCATCAGGGCAGCTCTCCCAGAGGACACATCTCTAGTGCCTCAGCTCTGGAAAGCCAGGCCAACAACAGAGCTTCCCAAAGGTGCTGCAACCCTGTGCAGGAGAGGCTCAGCAAGATGCAAAGTGCCGGAAAAAAGGGCACGGCCACCGAAGAGGGCTCCTCTGAGCTCTGCTGCCCAGACCCAGAGCCCAATCTCCACAGGCCTGAGGGCCAGGGAGCCTGCACCACATCCCACCCCACGCCATGGGAGCCATCACTCACCGAAAGGTGTGACTCCGACAAAGCCCTGGGTGGATGCTGACGGTGTCCCAAAAGAGAGGCTGCTTCCTGCTGTGCCCACGCCAGGGGTGGGGGCGCTCTGTCCAAAGGTGGGTGTGGAGGTTCCTAGGATGACCAGAGGAGGGTCAGGCTGGCCAGCTACTGGATGGCAGGGAGCCTGGCGCGCTGGCTGCCTGCAACTCGGGGGCGAGCTCTGTGGCTCCAGGGCACCTGCCCTGCACCCCACACCGCAACCTGACAGAGGACTCTACCACCAGCAGTCATCTCGCAGCCATCTCCTGCCCCTCATTCCCTTCCGTACTCACCAGCCCCAAGCGCCCCACACGGAAGGCTGTCTCACAGGTCTTGGGGTACAGGAGTGACAGGGAGCTTCTTGGCTTACCAATGCTGCTTCCTTCCTCTCCCAAACTCCCAGTTCCTCTGACTTTGTCACTTAGCCCCATCCTGTCAGCGCTGTCAACTGCCAGTCGGTCCCACCTTCACTGGGCATGGCTGGCTTACTCCCACCCACTCTTAACTGTGCCCTATGGTGGGTGCCTTTCAGCGTTGAGGGCAACTCGCCACCTCCAGCCCACATCTGCCATCTCCCAAGATCACTCCTGGGCATGCCCTGTGGTGCCGGCCACTGCCTGCTCTCTGTGCTTGACAAGGTCTTGCGCGGCTCCTGTTAAAGATTCACCTTGGAAACTGCAGGGAGGGCTCTGCACCAATGGCCTCACTGGACATGTGGTCCAGTGTTCCAGTCCACAGAAGCACCTGGCAGACCCATTTCCCTCTTATGCTTTTTTCTCTTGGTCCAAAAAGACTTCCAAGAGGCCCTCCCTTCACATGTCACCCTAGCACGCTACTAATCAATGAACACAGACGCTCTCAGGACCAAAGTTCACCTTTAACCAGCAACTAGAACCACAATCTTCTACTTAAGCTTCTGCGGTGATCTTGTCTACTGTCTGCCTTGCCACCCTATGGTTCAATCTTTTTTCCAGTACCAGGCATCGAACTGAGGACCTAGTGCTTTCAAGGCAGGTGTGGTGCCACTGAACTAATCCCTGGCATACCTTCTCTTTACACCTCTAGCCTAGCCTGGCTTGTGTCGTGCACACACCTTGCCACTCTTTCAGGCCCGGAGTGCTCACTCTCCCAGCCTGTGGCATAAACACTTCAGTGTCATGTCCTCAGGAAGGTCACGAGGCTCGCAGGGGCTCCTCCAAAGCCATGTGTTATCACTCGGGCACCGGCCCACCCCACTCACCTCTGAACATAGAGTTGCTCTCAGGGGTGCTGGCCACGTTGAAGGCGAACGGTGTGCTCTGGCTGGCTGTGCCCAGGCCACTCTGAGTCAGGCCCCCACCAAAGGGGGTGGTGGTGCCCGTGGTCCCGCTCTGTCCAGCTCCGAAGCTGAATGCTCCCGAGGTGGAGCTGGTGCCTGGGGCAGCCACCGCAGGCCCAAAGCCCCCACTGCTGCTGGCCATGGCCCCTGACGCCCCAAAGGTGAAAGGCGATGGAGCGGAGCTGCCGAACACAGAGCTGCTGGTCCCACTACTGGCGGTTTGGGTGGTGGCTCCGAAGCCCGAGGTGGTGGCCACACCGAAGGAGAAAACTGCTGTGGTGCTGCCGAAGGCTGGCTGCGTGCTGGCAGGGGCGCCAAACACAGAGGCAGCAGCTTTCAAACTGCCAAATGCAGACTGTGTAGAGCTGCCAAAGGCAGGCTGGGCAGGGGCCAGGGCTGGGGCTGGGGTGGGTGTGGGAGCCGGAGCTGGGGCCACAGAGTTCCCAAAGGTGAAGGAGCTGCCAAAGCTAGGGGCGAGGGCTGGCGTGGAGGAGCCCTGCTGCTGCCCATCTGTGGCCCTGAAGGTGGCCTGGGGGTTGGCCCCTGGGTATGGTGGAGGTGGGACAGGGGCCTTGGCGCTTGAGCCAAAGGGAATGTTGAACGCCGGTGTGGCCGTGTGACTGAACGTCAGTGTGGACTGGCTGGTGGTGACTGGGGCTGGGGTGGTGAGGGTGCCACCAAAGCCACTAAAGCCAGCAGTAGTGCTGCTGCTGCTGGTGGTGGCTGGCTGAGCAACACTGGGAAGGGACTGGCCAAAGCTAGTGATGGCTGTGGACACGGGCATGGTGGGAGACTTGCCAAACTGAAAAATGGAGGGCACAGTGGCGGTGAAGCTGGCAGCAGAGGTGGGAGGGGCCCCGAAGAGGAAAGGCTGAGAGGTGGAAGCAGTGGTGCTGGTCGTGCTGCTCAGGGCGCTGACCGCGCTGTTTGACCTGAAGCTGAAAGTGAGCTTCATAGCAGAGTCTGTGGAGGTACTGGCTGTGGTGACAAAAGCCACTGTGGAGGCAGCGGTGGACAGGGCAGGGAAGAGAGGGGCAGCCGCAGCCGCAGTAGTGACCGGAGCAGGTGTTGGCTTGAAGAAGGGAGCTGACAAGGGCACAGATGTAGGTGGCCCCATGCTGTCAAAGATGGGCTTGAAGGCTGGGATTGCAGTGCTGGTCGTAGCAGGCAGGGTGGTACTGGAGGCAGTGGCTGCGAGAGGGGTGCTAGACGGCAAGGGCCCTTCTCTCTCGACTTTAGGTGGTGGCTCAAAAATGGGCTTGAACATGGGAGAGGCAGAAGATAGGCTGGGAGCAGCAGCGGGGGCAGCAGAGCTGGAAGGCGGGGGGCTCAGCATCTCAAACGGTGCGCTCTGCTTGGGGAGAGGAGCAGGAGTTGGGCTGGGGGGTGCGGGGACTTTGGCAGGTGTCTTGGCCTGAGCAGCTGGAGGTGGCTTGGTGTCAGTGACTGGGGCCATGGAGGCAGCAGGGGCCAACCCCAGGAGGGTGGCGGTGGGTTTTGTGTCTGAAGAGGTGCCTGGCAGGGATCCTGACAGGGAAGAAGCAACAGGGGTCAGGAGGCTGGGTGTCTTTGGAGGTGTAGAGGCCACGGAGGCTGCCACTCCTGCAGGTTCTGGGAAGAAGAGGAAGACAGGTGAGTTCCAAAGACTTCCACGGGGTAGTGTGCAACGTGTGCCCTCCCAGAGCCACCACTGTGCTGGGGATCCAAGAGCAAATCAAGCAACTGAAGGAGTCTGTGCCACAGTCCCACCAAGGCCATCAAGGAGGCATTCCTACTTCCACAGACCATCAGACAGACAGACGGACAGTGAACACGGCCTCATGGGGGTGATGAGCGTGAGGAAGAAGGGAAGTGCAATCCTCAGAAGCCAGCTACTTACCTAGACGCCAAAGGTCATCTACCGAAGATGAACCTATCCCCTTTACCAACTGAGTGCTAAGCACAGGGCTGCAACCACAAGCTCAGCCTGCATGCCCGAGCCCTGGAGAGGTGACACCACAGTGGCATACTCTCCAGCAAAGCCAAGGGCACGTGTCTGGCATGTGCCTGCCATGAAGGCATGGGCCTGCATGACCCTGTGAGGGCCTATGGCCTAGGAGCCCACAATGTCCTAAGGGCACTGCTGCACTCAATTTGTAGACATCCCACAAGGGCCATGTCGTTCTCCTTTCACAGATGACAGCAGCCAGGCAAGTGGACTGCAAACCCAAGCGGCCCTCCCCAGCTTTATTTCTGTGAGGCAGGACACTGTCCCTCACATTTTCCAATAGAGAATTTGGAAGCAGTACAACCTTTATGGTTTGGCAGGCAGAGGAGGTCTGAACTCACAAACAACCCCAGCACCCGCTGCTGGATGTGTCTCGCAGGCCCAGCTCTGTATCTGCTCAGAGGTGCTCTGCTCACCTGAGGACAGCGAGCCCGGGGGACTCTGCATCTTCTTCAAGCTCTCCAGCAGGGGGTTCGAGCTGGGCACCAGGAGGGATGCCAGTGGGGACTCGGGCACCGCAGTAGGTGGAGAGAAAGTGAAAGAAGGCTGCGTGGTGGCTGGGCTCTCAGTGACAGAGTTCGAGGCAGCATCTGTGGAAGAAGGACAAGATGAAACTCCTGTCTTGCTTGGGAACGCTTTCCAGACAGCACGGGAAGCTCAGGGCTAGTCTGACCTGTCCAGAATGTTTCCCCCCAGCTTTCAGTGAAACTCTGAGCAGATTTCTCAACTGAGAAAGAAAAGAAAACTTACTGGCTTTGTCCTCCAGGACTTTGTTAAACCACTGTAGTGAAGCCTTCTTCTCCAGGTCCAGGTCTTCCGTGGTGATGGAATAACCGAGCTCAGGCGGGGGAGGCTGCCAGTGAAAACAAGACAGGTCAGGAAACATGCATCTAGCCTTCCCCGGACAGAGGACTGATGGGAGGACAACAGGCAGGATATACCAAGGTCAGCCGGTCCCCTCGCCTGCAGGGCAGCAGCTGAATCTTCCGTTTCCGCCGCCCAGAGCTGCCAGGTGTAGATGGGGAAGTCCATGAGTTCTGCTGCTTGCAGGTGTTTGACTCGACAACTAAAGAGAAACAGAGGTGCTGGCTTCTTTTCTTCTCCCAAGAATGGAGTTTTGTCTAGCCACTGGTGTTTTGTTTGGTTTGGTTTTGAGACAGGGTCTTGCTATATAGTTCAGGCTGGCCTTGAACTCACTATGTAGCCCAGACTGGCCTTGAACTCACAGTAATCCTCTTGCCTCAACCTCCCCTCAGCCTCTCAAATGCTGGGATTACAGGCATGGCCACCATGCCCGGCTTAGCCCAGTTTTTAACAGAGTTGTTACTGGGTCTCTGAAAAGATTTTTCTCTTCCACAGTTGGGATACCTGGGAAGTGTTTGCAAGTACATTTCCAACAGTCAAGAGGAAATGAAGAGAAAACAACTCCAAATGCCTGCATCCAGTTGCTTCCCAAATGGCCCCACCCTGGGTGGCTCACAGATACCTCAGGCCAAGCTGACCCAGGCCGACCCAGTTACTTCAGGGCTGCTTTCTCCCCTCTCCCACCATCACCTCTGCAGGGCAGGAGTGCTACTCCACCTGTTTTCAAAAGCAGGAAATCTGCATCTCCTCATCTCCCCCACCACCGCCACTGTGCTGCGCATCAGCTCACCCCTTTCTCCCTGGGACTCCTTGTCTGTCACCAGTGGAGTTGAAGAACTGGCATGATGACACACCTCCTCTTCTCTATAGGGATTTTGAAAGGCAGAATTCAGTTCAGAAAGACTTCTGGACCTAAGCACTGGATAAATAGTGCCTCATACTCTCCTCCCTACTGAAAGGCCATGACTCACCAGTACGTTAGGACAAAAAAGGTCAAAAGAAAATTCCTGCAGAAATGAAGGGAGCACTTCATTAAGGCCAGGGAAAACCTTTTGTCTTACACCAAGAGCAAAACAAACCTTCAAAAACTTACAATCTGACAAGTCCAGAGAATGCCAGGCTCTGATGTGACCGGAGGGAATGGCAGTGCCACAAAGCACCCAGGGCCAGGACCAGAGGGCTCCTGCCCACAGACACAACCCGCCCTGCGCCCCAGTGGCCTGGCTGGAGTAGGAGGCATGCACAGGCCTCTGCAGGGCAAGAGGGCAGTTCCGGACCCTTCACTGGCCTTCTCTAGCACTGCAGTCCTGTGACTCACAAGTCACAGTCACACAAAGGCCAAGAACTGGGTCCATTTGCCCCCTTTCTGCCTACTCACTCGCCCACTCAGCAAATGGTAAGAGGAGGAGGTGCTCATCACCTGGTCTTCTTGGCAGGCCTCTCTGGGGTCTGGGAGCGAGAGGAGGCAGGACTAGAGAAGGGGGAGGAAGTGGGTCCACTCCTCTTCCGCAGCTAGAAGTCAAGAGAGACAGGACTGCTGTCATTCTGTGGTCTACTCATCACTGCAGACAAAGTTTCTTTTTAAGTGATTAAGAAAATCTTTATGAAGAAAGATCCTTGGAAAGCCAGATGTGGGAGCACTTGCCTGTAATCTCAGCATTTGGGAGGCTGAGGCAGGAAGATAGCAGCAAGTTAGGGAACAGCTTGAACTAAACAGTGAGACCCTGTCACAAGAAAGGGGGTGGGGTCCCTGAAGAGTCAAATGCCAGTATTAATTACGAAAGCAAAAGAAGAGTCTAGAAAGGTAGTGGAATGCTAACAAACACAGAAGGAATGAAGGCACTTTGCCATATATTGGAAAGAAGGATGCGACACTGACTTTCTAATATACTGTATTCTCTAAGAATCAGTCTGTGCCCATTAAAAGATTAAAAATGAGAAGGGAAGAGAACACTATAGAGTCACACACATGCACACTAAAAAACCAGTGGCTGAAACAAGTGTTCAGTTCTGTGCATTGTTTTCTATAATTCTGAGCTCCATCCTCTGGCCTTTTTATTTTTTAAAATTCTCAGACAGGGTCTTACTAAGTTGCCCAGGCAGGCCTTGAACTTGCAATCTTCCTGGCTTGGCCTCCTAAGTAGGTGAAATTCCAGGCATACATATCTCTATAAATTTCTGAGATCATTCACAGGAGCATCTATTAAGCTGTCTTATTTCTAATAGGTACATGGTATTTTTTTCTGGCACCTCAAACTCAGGACTGAGCACACTTGAGCTACATCCCTGGCCGGCCCAGTTACATACTAGTTCATGCTTACAGAAATGATATTATTCAACCAAGCCCCTGAGAAGGGACATAGTTATTGTTTCCAAGCTTCTGCTAATAAAATGTTATAATCAATGTCCTTGTACTTCTTTCAGTCCATAACAGAGCCTGATGGCAAAAAGGGCATGAGCTCCTCTAATCAGATGGAGTCCTCCACAATCCACTACAGAAAACAACTGACACTCCCAGCAGCGGTGCTCATGAACCCAGGGTCCTCTGATACTTCTGCGGTTTCAACTTTACTTTTAAAGCTTCATTTGGAATAGGTTTTCCTAACATATGAAAAGCTTTTGAAAATGAGAAAATGTAAGTATCCTCCTTCAGAAATATACAAAAGATACAAACAGTAAGGGACAGAAAACTGAGAATAATCCACTAACGTATGAAAAGGTGGTCGAAGTCATTCCGGAGAGGAGAATTAGACACCATTCTTCACCTGCCACTTGGGAACAACTCAAGAGTTACGACAACCTCACCACCACTCTCCAACATGCCAGTGTGAATGTAGACAGTACACGCTCTCCGGAGGGGAAGCAAGATTCTACACATATCTATCTCACCTCTGACCTGGGACCCTGACTTCCAGGACTCTATCCCTGAAGTGTGGCTGCCAAGGGTGAAGCATATTCTTCGCAGCACTGTTTGTAACAGCACAAGACTGAAACAACACAACATTTCTCCACAGAGGAGCAGATAAACCAGGCCACTGTGCTACTGTGTCAGAAATTTTAATCTTACTTTTCTCGTTGCTGACACAAAGCAACCAACACCCAAAGTGAAAGGAGGAAAGGTCCATTTTGGCTCACAGTCTGTAGAAGTTTCAGTCTATAATCAGCTGGCTCCCAAGCAGGGTGGCATGGCAGACAGGCATCCCAGAGCAGAAGACAAGCAGCGGCAGCGATACACAACATAAGCCATAACATGCTTAAAGATAGGAAGGAAATAATGTGAAGTGGAAAGGGAGAGAAACTGGATTTCTCGGTATCTTGTCTTGATATGTTTTTTTGGAATAATTTAATTTGGAATTAAATAATCTATATCAAAAAGAAAAACAAATAGGGCCGGGGATTTAGCTCAGCGGTTCGGTGGGCTGCCTTGCAAGCACAAGGACCCGAGTTCAATCCCCGGTACCAAAAAAAAAAAAAAAAAAAAAAAAAAAAAAAGAAAGAAAGAAAAACAAAGAAATCACCACAGCCTTAAAAATACCAAATTCATGAACCTCACTGTAGATAAAGACAGCAGCCTAACCAAGTGGCTTAATTCATGTTCCTTTAAGATACAATATTTTGATTGTATATCCCTAGTATTCAGAGACATAGACTAAGGGTAAAATGAATGACAAAAGCCTCACTGTTAATAATGACATTGATATTATTTTATAATCATGTATCATATCCCAGCAAGTAAGTTATTATGAACCTACTTTTTTGTATAATACATAAAAATATAAAATCAAAGAAATTTTACATCAAGATTATGACATCTTAAAAATGAATTTGAAATATCATTCTAAACAATGATTTGATTCTTCTTTCTTGGAGGTCTGTACATCTATTTCTGCTGGAACTCAGACTGTGTTATTTAATACTCTTTCCACTGGAAGAAATCAAGGCTATACGAAGAAACAACGAATTTCCCTCTGGGGTGGAGCTATATGAGATGGACTCTGGGAGGACAGGAGCAAAAAGCAAAATAACTAGCAGAGACGGCTGGTGTCTAACCAAAAGGATACAGAAGCAGGTTTGAAATTGCTCTTACAGGCCCAAACTGAAAGAGTTCACACAGCAAAAAGAACTGCATAGTTGAGGGTGGTGATGCACATCTATGATCCTAGCACTATGAGAGATGGAGGCAGAAGATGAACCCAACCTGGGCAGTTTGGTAAGTCAGCGGGGTTTTGTCTCCATGCGTAAATGAGGACCAAAATGGATGACAGATATTGGGAAGTAGGAAGAAAATGTTCAACTGGGAAGGAGAATGGGGGGCGGAAACAAAGCTTTTGTAGATATGAAGGGGAAGAAGGACTGAAGGGAGGGGAGGGGAAACGAGGAAAAAAGAATTAAGATATATTATGTACAGGTACAAATTCTCTTGCAAGAACAAGGTCCTAAGTTCGATCCCCAG